CCTCAGGAGATCCTGAGGTGCTTTAGCCTCCCATTGAATGCATCATCTATCCTTTTCACTCAAGCCATCAACTCAGGAGCGGAGTTTCCGATCTCTTCCATCCCCRCACTGCCTTTGCTCCCCGCCAGGCCTTTGCTCCCAACCTCTGCTCTGTATTGAAGAGTTGCAAGAAACCAAATATCATAAGTAATTTTGCACTGGAATCTCTTGAATTTAAATCCTCCCTCCTTCCAAAAATAAAAATCATACTTTCAGTTTATAAATGCAGAGTGATTATTGTTTGTTTCCACTTCTTCGAGTTTAGTTAATCACTCAGGTAAGAAAAAYAGGAACATATTCCACAGTGACTCTTATGTGACTGTGCAAAATTGGCAGGTCTCACTTTCCCCTATGTGACAGAAACATATGGTAGCAACATGCCTACCAGCTAGATGAGACCTCAGATAGGGAGGATTCAAGCTCGTGGTACAGGATTATACATCTGGTTCAGTGATCATAGTACATCGTTTTGTACCAACAAWCTGTCGAGCAACTGGCTGTCCTCAAAACTTCTTTTCACCCTCAGTACATGAGCTTTCCTATTGCTTTGGTGAATGTGCATGTGCTGTTCCAGATATCTGAATTGAATAACATTTTCATTTTTTTTTTCCCTGGAGAAGGTAGTAGTCATTGTCTACTAGGTAAGACAAACAGGAGTAATTGAGTTAATTAAGAGACCATTAGAACATAGTTTGAACTCAAGTACACCACGTGTTTTTTTTTGAAAGGACCTATTGGGTTGTTGGAAACTCTAGTGAAATTGTGGGAACATCTATTTCCAAAGACTCTAAACTTGTGTGAGAAATATTACCTGAAATCCCAGAGAAGAAAAATAGCTTTAGGGAAACGCATATGGACATCAAGATTTTAAAGAAAATGGGGTTGTCTTTTAAGCAGAAAGACTCTTTTCAATCTTGACTGTGTACACCTGGTCCTATGCTGTGATCTTCTGTACATGTGTGTGTGTTTGTCCTTGAAATCTTTATTCTCTGCTGGAGAACTACTAAAAATGTAACATGGGAAGGAAACAATGCTTTTCTGAATATCAGTGTTTGGAAGGGAAACAAAACCTGATCAAAATCATCATTTCATGTCATCTTGCACCATCTATTCATTTTTATTGATTTATGGATGCCTTCTAATCTAATCTGAGGAAATTATTGTGAAATATTTAAAAAYAATCTGCAAGTGGATATCAGGCATCAAGGATGCTTTGAGAAATAAAACAAAATATATGTGTGTGTTTATATACATATGTTTATGTATATATGTGTAAAAGAGAAAGCAGAAATGATGACTTACCATTTCTTTGTTGCACTCATCCATCCATCTGTATAAGCAATTCTCTGAGTAGGCTGCTACATAAAAAGTCKGTTTCTGATTCTGTTATTTTGCTATAATGGTGGAGGTAAAAATCTAGCAAAAATCTATCCATGTTGAAAATGAGAAGACAATATTTTTTACATTTTAACACTCCCGTGTGGTCAATTAATGTCTTTTTTTAGAATCTGAGTTTACTGGTTAATGACTGAGTCTTGAACATTAGCATTAACACTGCTGTCCTAAACCACTGCCATTAGCCTGCAATGCAGCAAATTGTTGACAGCTCTAACAAAGCATCGCATCCTGCTGCCTTGTGAGCCCTGGATTCTGAAATGCTCTCTGTTGATGCATAATTGAGCAAATACTCTTTCTTTTTAATATTGCCAGTCACTTAAAACAATCAATTGGTCAGCTGGAATTGTTTTCCTAAAATTGTATCCTTAAACAATACCTATGAAGTCTGCTTACTTGTCAAATATTTGAAGCCGTTTCTATTTAATTGGAGTCTATGATCCATGAATGTGTGAAAAAGTAGATGATTTCTGTGCCATGTAAGTGATCTTTTGTCACAGGGTAGGAAACACTGCTACATGACATGTTGCTGCATCTTTACCTCATTTCAACTGCTGTTTCTCTGCACTGAATGAAGAAACAGTAATAGTTGCTGTGTATCTACTTATTTTCAGTTCTAAACTAATGGAGTCCACAGAACAACAATCATACTATGAATCTAAGGCTACACAATCAATAGGTTATTTCTCATGTTGAARATAAGGGTTTTTTTGAGTCTTTTCCCTTTCGAGTTACATAAACTGCATTTTGGTGTTATGTGGCAGGATCACTGCTCAAAAAGTTATTAGCAGGGCAAATCAAGATGTTGATTCGCTCCTACTCAGCTCTCTTTCATGGATAATAGTTGCACATGTGCAGTGACCTTCAAACTATTCAAATATAAAATGAATGCCTTTAAAAACAGGATACTTTGTAAGTGGCAGCTTTCTACAACTTGTATTTTTCAAGGAGTTATAAAGCCGGAGATGCTATAAATTAAAAGCTCATCTATAAAAATTGTTTGTCTACACTGATGGAGCAGTATACATTTATTCATTTGTTTATTTATTTGCACTGGTCTTTTTTTGGGTTTTTAGTTGCTGTTTGTGAACACTGAGCATATCTTTTTTTTTTTTTTTTCATCAATAAACCTTTGTTTTTCTTTTCAAGGAAGGAGAACATTTGGCTAATGCATTTTATGTACTCATAAGTAAAGATTCATCCTGTAGTCCTTTCTCAGGGAACATCATTATTAATCAAGAGTAGAAGATGAAGATTTGGTTTTGATGAAAAAATGCAAATAAGAAACACCTCAAGCTGTAGTTTCAAGTGCATTATCAGCTAGTACTACTGCCTTAAGAAGCAGTCCTGACCTCCTTCTCTACCTGACAACTTATTCTCACCCTGCTTTGCTTCCTCCCTTGGGCTAGCAAAAATGTTTGTGCTGCTGCTCATTGAACTAGATCAAGGAACCAATCAGAGATAAAGCTGCCTTTTTTTTTTTTTTTTTTTTTTNTTTTTTTTTTTTTTTTTTCCTTTTTCGTCCCAGATTAATTTTAACTTTGATCAGATTCTCAATTTGGTTCACCACAGGACCGCTTGGGCAAATAAAAAAACCTGTTGGCCTCAGGGAAAGGAAGGGCTGCTTTCTGTTGTGAAAATGCCAGTACATGTGGCATGAGCATTAGCTTTGCTTCATTCTTACTGTTCAAATAAATAAAAACATAAAACCTTCTGTTTGAGCCTAACCCTTTGATTTAACTTCTGGTTAGCCAAAGGTGTTTCTGGAACAAACAGTGAATCCCACCACCACCTCCACACCATCCATACCATCATCTATCATCTATCCATACTGTTCTTACTCTGGAAGTATATGAACAAGCTCTGTTGTTTACAGCATAGGTATTTTGAATAAGCACACAGAGAAATGGTATCATCAAGTCCACTCTCATTAACATGGACAAATACTTCATAAAATTCCTCTTAGAAACTTAACAATCTCCACCTCAAAATATAGATTTCTTCACTCAACTTCTATTAGAGGACTCACTAGAACTCTGCTTTTCTGTTCTGATAGTTACAGAGCTTCCAGCTCTGTGCCTACAAGTATTCTATACATTAATAGCAGAGTATAACAGCTTGGATTTGAACCCAGGCCTTTGCAGTAATCACTAAAAGTGCCTTACAGAAAACCTTAGGAAGCTTCTAAAGCTGAGTAATCATTTTTCTTAACTGGGTTAACTTGATGGTGTTAAGCTATCTAAAATAGTTTCAAACTGTTGTAGCAATAGTTGAAACTGTAATTACAGTACTGCCATGCAAATGAACAGAAATACACACTTGAATTAGTGTTACAGTATTTAATATACTGTTATTCATTCCACAAACAAAATTATCTAATTTAGAGTTGAAAAGGTAAAAGTGATTCTTTCAGTAGCGTGAGATAGAATTGGGATCTGGATCATCATTAACCTATCAGTTGGATTTTGCATTAACATCAAACTGGGACTCATTTTCACATTCTGGAATTTTCTAAGGTGTTTGTCTGATAAAATACTGTGGACAGTTTGTATGCTGTTTGTTCTTTACATTTTTCTGTTTTGAGCTGTTTTTGTTCAGCTGAACTTTTTAGTTCTTAAGATCTGACCAATAAAAACTAACAAACAAAACAAACAGAACAAAATATGAATTTGGATTTTTGTTTTGAATTTGAAGATGTTTCAAATGCATKTGTTTTGAAATTCAGAAATTAAAACAATTTGTATATAGAATATTCTCTGTGGTCCATCCACACAGTCAGGAATGAAAAGATTTTCATGAACATAATAGTGAAGACCTTTTGCAATGTTTCTGATTAATGCATCCACATTTTAGTTCCTGTGAGCATGACGACATTGACAAGAAATTAGTTTGTTTTCAAGGCATGGAATACAATTCTGTTGTTGTATTGTGGTTGTTTCCTTGTTTGTTTAAGGGAGGGTTAATTTCTCTTCATGATCTTGTTTTTCCTTCATTAAACAAGCTGTTAATAGTAAAGCTATGATTCTCAGCTGTTGATGTTGACTGGCCTGGATACAGCTGTAAGCTAGGAATATGCAGGGCGTGAGATGATCAGCTTTTTTAGCTGTCTGTTGTTATCAATACACAATGAAATGCTTAAGAATGACTTTATGAAATGTTAATATGTCCTGCAGCTTGGGCAGGACATGTACTACAAAAAAGGATCAAAACTACACCCCATGTGAAAAGAAATGAGGAATATTTGAGCTCAAGAGAAGTATTTTTGATAAACAAATGCCTTCAGTGTTAATACATCAAAACTAAACACTTAACACAAAGGGTTGCTTTTTCGTTTAAAAATGTGGTTTTAATACTAACACACTATAATATATTTAGACATATTTTTAAAATAAAGAATTTATTGTTTCAAAACTGCTTACATCTGCTAGTGTATACTCTAATTACCAGTAAAAGCTTAACTTTTAGCACATGATTGATGCTACTGCCAATCAACAAGTAAGAATCAGGTGTTACTGAATTCTCRGGGACTAATAAGGTTACCTAAATGTTCTGATAAACTGAAGTTTGATACTCTGAGTGGACTGGAGACTAATCCAGAGATAGTAGAACAGTCTTTCAATTTAGAGGATGAGAACAAAGCTAAAACAAACACTGTTTAATGTACAGACTCTTATTTCCATGGATAAGACAAGGCTTAGCTCTTAAACAAAGCCTATTTGTCAATGCCCTTACACTTGGGAGGAAGRCAGTGGTAATGTTGTTCATGCCTCTTGTATTACAAGCTTTCAGCTATCTCTGTTGGAATACATCCATAAGGTTTCAGTACTGTGAAGAAAGCGTATATTCTCAGAACTAAATAAACTGGCCTTTTCAGTCAGGCTGGCAAGCATAGGCTGGCAGGCTTCGAAAGGACTTGGGACTCATTCTTCAAATTTTGGAAGACGCAGCTGGACAAACAGGTAACTAGCTGAATGTTGATAAACATTGGAGAAACAGAGACTGAAAGGATGGCAGATGAAATATATGAGTTGTACAAATATACAAACTATTGTTCTTTTTAAGTCCCTCTTTTTAGCTTAATTTCTTCTTCCTTATTTTCTTGTTTTAGCTGACTGAACTGAGATTTCTAAGATAAATTTGCATTATAATTCTTTGTATTTAGAATAATGTCTGTTAGTTAAAATGCAGGAACCTCTATAAATGCTAATGATCCAAGTTTACTATTTGTAAATATTTATAGAAATTTACAGTAAAATAGAAAATTGCATGCAAAGGGATGCAATCCAGTTTGATTGTAAAGGACCAYTTATTTAGCTAACATTGCCTTTTGGTTTCTTGAAACCTGAACTACAATGAAATAGTGGCATTAAAGTTTAATCCCACAGAGATGTATCAAGACTGTTCTACCACACTGAGTTTTACTGCCCTTTCATAATGAAGGGAACTTTAATGGGATCTTTTGATCTAAACATCCATCTTTGTTTTTCCTTCATTCTTATTTCTCCCAGATTTAATAAATGCCTGTATGCTCTAAGATCTGAGAGATGTTCAGGAGAGACTGCAGTCCCTTGGAATAGCAAAAGTCTGACTTATTTTCCATAAGCAGCTTGGCACAGGAATGTTTTGATCTCTTAATTGACTTCTTCCCATATAAAGTTTGGGATTCCCCTCCTCACATCCTAAAGCTGTTAAGCCTGGTTTTCTCTCTTAATAACTCAAAAGTCAGGCAAGAATTAATTAGCTAGCTAGAATTCTCTCTATCTCTTTCTCTTTTTTTTTTTTTATCTGACACTTCATGAAATATGCTATAGAATAGCTCTAGCATTAACTTTATAAATGAAGTATTTACTTCTGTATCTACTATTAATTAGCAGTTCATTTGGAAAGTAAGTTTACAAGATGTTTGAGGGAATATCTATCAAGCATTGAGGAAGGTGGGAAAGTCAATGCAAATCCTATTTTATATTTCATGTCTGAGAGATGTAATGATTGGCTTGATCTGTTTCAAAGGACTAAGGCAAAGAATTTGCAGATGCGTAAGATGAGCTGACCCATCAGCCTGATTTATCATGATTTAGTTTTCTTTCAAAAAACAAACATGTCAAAAGTCTTGATGAGCCCTRGAGGCTTGGATTCAGACTTATTTCTTCACAACTTGGGCATTACATGATTTTTCATTTAGAGAAATTTAGGCCATCATCTCTGTATGAGTTCTTTTCTGTATAGTKTGAGCTCCCTTCTTTGGGTAATGTTGACCTTTAAACTTCCTCTTACTTACTATAGTAATGTCTATTGGCAGTTGCTATTATGAAATTAAAGRAGCAAAAAAACAAACAGAAAAACTCCAAGGTCTAGTGCAGACTTTTCTTCTCCTAAATGCTTGGTTTCCTAGTGCAAAAGAGAGGTAATTACAATGAAAAGTGTACTTTTGTTTTGCAGGATGATTGCATTAGAAGAATGAATATCTTCTGTTTTGAGTCCCACATATAACTGTTATTGTGGCATCTACTCTATAAAATACTCTTTCAGAGTGCAAGAGGAGACTTACAGATTTCTGCTTTACTACAGTAATAGAGCAAAAAATCAGGAAATTCCTGGGGAATCACTTGAGAAACTGCACATAAATGCAAATAAAAACAGGACWACATAACATGTTTGTTTATAACAATAAAAAAAAGTTTATTTCTGTGGAAGATTCTAAAGAGATGATAAAAGCAACAGACACAAGGAAAGGATCTGTGATCTACAACACTAGAGAGTTGATGAGAAACACATAGTGAGCCTTCCAAAAGCAAGGAACAGATGAAAGAATAGCGGGCTGATTGGTTTTGAAATGAGAAGCTCAGATGACATAGTTAGAAATTACAGGGTATACAAAATGGAGTGCATCTTTAAGTATACTGAAGATAAATATGGTAACAGTGGAGAAAAGGAATTTTGAAAGTAAATAACAAGATTTACCTTTTTTTCTTTTTTCCAATTGTAAGAATATAAAAACTATTTTCAGGTGCAGTAGTGTGAACAAGAATGACTAAAGCTTTCTTCTGACATGTTTCATTTTTCCTTTTAATCTAAATGGCATTTTAAATTTTACTTTTGAAAAACAAAAGCAGAAGGTCGCTGTTGATGTTACTAGATGTATTTCATTCCTGTGATGGACATGCTTAACATTCTGCTTAACTTTGGGAACTTTCTGATCTTTTGGATAAAACTTATAAAACTGGCATTTGGAGTAAAAGTCTGGAAATAATGATATTTGCAGAGTGGATGGGGAATAGTGGAATATTGGGAATGTTGTCTAACATATTTCAAATCYGTTCTGATACGGTATAGAGAATTTTAAATAATGCCTCTCCCCCACAAGTAATAAAATTTCCAAATTCAGTTTGCAACCTGGCTACTTATCTAGAAACAGATGATAATGATTTTTTGACCTGTTTAAATAGTGTAATGATAGGAAAATCTGGTCTGACCTTTATTTCGAGCCAAAGATAATAATCAAACTCACTTCTAAATAAGTCTTTTAGTCTCAAAACAAATATTCTGAATCTGACAAGAGCAAATCTTGGTCTGAATTCCCAAAATCATTTTAGACATAACTGTTAAACACCTCAGTGCCTAAGAAATATATTTTACTGTTCCCAAAAGCCTATATATAAAATCATATATAAATGATGAGTTTAGAAGAAAAGAATGAGGAAGATAAGAGTGTGGCAGCTCTATTACAATGCACAAAACTCTTGAGGCAGTAGACAGTGTATTAGGAAGCTATGAATTATGATGAGATAGGTAAAAGGAAAAAAAAATAAGGGATTATTGCAGAAATGTGCAAGAGGTAGCAGTAGAGAAGGTAAAAATGGAGAATGAAAGCTTGTGATGAAAACAAATGTATAAAGAAAACATTGTAAATGGTATCAACAGAATGCATATTACTTCCAGATCCAGATTCCTAGTATGTTTTTTCAGTATATATGTTCTTTTCCTGATCTTGATATACCAACTTATATGAAGTAAAAAAATTATTTTTTCATTAAATAATCTTTAGGTGAGGATAAATATGTATATATGTGTGTACATATATGTTTAACATAATGTGAAACCATTTTCAGGATTTGGTGTAGCAGGTTTTCACTAACAATGACATGGATTTAACCACAATCTGGCATGAGTTTTGAACATCATTAAATTGCTTTGGTGTTCTTGTTTTTTACTTCAGTTTGTATTGGTTAGTCTCACAAAGATACTCAATATTTTTAGAGACCACCATTTCCCTTGRTGAAGTTTAAAGACCAATCTGAATGGTAAAATGCAGGTAAAAAACTATTATGTCTTGCAGAAAAATTCCATGTTTCTCTGGTTTGATTTGATTATATATTTTTCAATATTTAATTCTAATCAAGATGTTATGGTAATATTTTTTTTCCTGGTGTACAAGTAAAATGAATAAACAATTTTTTTCCAGTAAATTACCTAAAGCTTAAYATTGAATTGAACACTGCATATCAGAAGCCAAATAAAATTATTATGTTTCTCTGTTTTACAGCATCGACTACATCCTGAAARTGTTCAGATTACTTCAGTTTCCATTTGTAGACCCACTTTTAGCTATAGATAAACAGAATCACAAACTCAGTTTAAATAAAATACTACTATATAAAAATATATATTTAATTATCTGTAACTATTGTAAATTCTTACTTTGGAGAAAGGTTTACCTTTTGTTCGGCTTTTGTGCAAAACTTGGCAAAATTTATTCCTAGTCCATAATTAGCAACAGAAAGTGCTATAATGATGTGATGGAATGTTTCTTCTTTCAGAAAGAATATCAATTTACTTTCATCTTACCATGTCTTTTCCATCTCTTTTTTTTGCCACAGCTTTGTTTTCCTTCTTGATATTCTTCTGGATCTTCTGCATTCTCCCTACTGTTCATGTATTTCTACTGGAACAGTGGTGTCTCTTGTAATGTTCCCGGTCATATTAAATTTGGCTGGAAGACGGTCAGATTTTGTGGTAGTTGTGGATTTTTTTTKTTTKTTTGTTTTAATAGTGAATCTTCTATGTGGTCATGTCTACAACCCTTTTATATAGTATTTACACAAGCAGTTTTATGTTCTCACAAATATTCAGGGTTGTTCAGGAGGATTTTTTTTCATATAAACTACTTACGTATCTGTTGTTAAAACAGAAATAGGAAGGGAAGTGGTATCTATTTAAGATACTAAGATCTTAAAGTTATTAAGATCTTAAAAATACAAAATAATAAAGAAGCAATAGAATATGCCTGGTATAAGTTCAATAAACAGCCAGGTAAACCCATAAACAATTTGTAGGCTGAAACTTTGCAAACTGATGAAGAGAGTTAAAATTGGAAATAGTCATGCTCACACCAAACAAACATTGGAGTACAACTGAAAGTGTTGAAAACCATAAAATAGCTTAAAATTGAAGATGAAATAAGGATGAAGATGACCCAATTACTTACTATTACTGAAATCTCAAACAGTTCACACACTTAATGAGATATTGTGAATGCTTAAAATTGAATATTCATTTCAGAACTGTTTTTGCATCTGATGCATGTGAATGTTTTAGAGTCACTGAGTCCATCCCCTTAGAGTCACAGGGAAACATGCTGTAAATTCCTGTACGCTTCTGTATATTTCACTTTACATTTTTTCACTTTACTGCATAATCCAAGTTGCAGGACAGTTCCCAACAAGCCATGTCAAAGCCAGTATCAATAGAAGAAAAATGCAGTCTAGCTCAGGACAATAGTAAGAATAAATCCATTATTTCTCTGATGCCTCAGATCACTGTAACGCCAGCCTGGGGAGTACAGGTCATTTATCTTTGTGAAGTAAAATCTTTCATGGGTCATCTCAGGTGTTGGACAGCATATCAGACTGGAGATTTCACTAGAACCTGGCAATTTGACATAGGGAAAATTCCTTTCAAATCCCAATTCTTTTGGCCTGTTTATACCTGAGTATATGAGGAAGACATAAGTAATGTTTTTAATGGTTTTAATCTCTAACTCCAGCAGCTCTGCACTTTCATAGTCTGATTCTTTATATAATCAGCTTTGTAATTAACACAAGGTAAGCAAAAAAAAAAAAAAAAGGAAAAAACCCTAAAAACCTGTTAATCTTATAGATATCCGTCTACTTGAGTAGAATATTTGAAATTATTCAAATGAGACAAAATAATCCCAAGCAGCAGTATGACATGGGCTTTGACTCTTTGGGCTGTAGCTTTGCTGACAAGGACCTGGAGGTCCTGGTGGACAGCTAGCTGGACATGAGCCAGCAGTGTGCCTAGTAGCCTTTTGAATAGCATCAAAATAAGAAAAAATTMATTGCCATGAGACTAATTAGATATTAGAATAGGTAGTCTTGAGAAKTGGTGAAATCTCCCATCACTGGAAATATTGACAATYGGTGGGAATGGGCCTTGGGCAATCTAATCTATTTCCAACAAAAGCTTGGAGCACATCTCCAGAGGCCTCTTCAAACCTGCACTTTTCTGATTCTATGATTCTACAATGTAAAAATTTATAGCGTAAGAAAAAGCTTACTGCAATGCAGTAGTACAACTTTTTCCTCTGAAACATTAAAATAAAAAAGCTGAAAGTTCTTGGTAAACATGCTTTCTAAATTTGCATTTAATGTATTCAGTAGTCAGTCATCTGTTTAATAGTGTCAAGGGCCAAAAACATCTTTTAGTATGTGGATCTACCATCAACTGTAACTGTTCATCAGATGTACAAATAGGCTTATCATCATCCTAGAAGATCACATTCTCTTACTAACGACATGTTTTCATTTCATTTATAGTTAGCTGTTTCACTGTAAGAAACAAAAATGTTGAGATATTCAGAAGGATGTAGATTTATTTACTACAGGCATGCACTAAACGATGTGATTTTGGAGAGGAGGAAGGATGTTGCAGGATACATGTGCTAGGTAGATGGCAACATAGAAAGCATCCAGAGAGCTGCCTACAAGGTTTACAGTGAATCTGTGATTGATACAACTAAATAGCTCAACTAGTTTACTAGAGAGAAGAACTTTATATCAAAGAGTAAGATCTTTAATAGTGCTCTTTAGTAGCAAYGAGTTAAACATGCAAATACAGAAACACTCATATTACTTTACCTACTGTACATTTTGAAATTGTCTTCATGGATCACTAGGTTATTTAATGGCCTTTCACCCCTGAGGCCACGCTTCAAATTAAAACTGCGTAAGCTTTGAGAAATAACCAATTTCAAGTTATGTTCTGAATTTGTATCAAGGTTGTGTAACCTTGGAGATCTCCCTCTATGAGCTTAGACAGCTTGCCAAATATTTATACAAGGCAACAGTGTTTTTAGGCATGAGACTATTCTTCCCTGTAGGAAAGAACTGATTCTCCCAACAGACATGTGAGAAATCCTCCATACTGCTGCACTGTGAAGAGGAACCTCTGTGTGTGTGTGTGTGTGTGTGTGTATGTGTATGCATGCACCTGATTAGCAGTTGGGCTGGTGGTTGCAAGGGCAAAATCTCCCTTTTGTTGCTAAAGTTTACCTAGGATGTCTTTTTTTTGCACTATTTGGAAATACATTGCACTGCACTATTTGCAAGACAGATGAAGTGAATTTCTATGTTGTTTAGCAGAATACACTTAAGTGCAAGGGAGGAGACAGGGAAACAAGTTTGTAGTTTTTGTCAAAATACTTTGAAGATGCACAACATTTCTATAATGTAGGAGATTTAGAATAAAAAATAGACATATACGCACACACAAACATGTATACCCTCACCCTTGCATTCTATGAGAGAGTGTATTTCATTTTCTAGCTCAGTTGTCTTTGGAGTGCTCTGAGTTGTTCTCTGTCTTCCTTATGTTTGGGGTGTTGGTTGGAGATGGGTTGGTAGGGTTGGAGTCACCCTAAATTAGAATGAATTTTGCTTTCAGGCAGCAAAATGTCTGGGACTCCCTTCTCTTTTTTTGTGTAACATGAAATTTTTGCATGAGATACAATGCATTGTCTATGCATGACACAGTACTACTGTACAGATTTGCAATGGTGCTCATAGATTTATTGTTCAGATAAATATTGCTCTTTACAGCAGTCCAAATTCTTAGGTGAGAGTTGTCCTAAATATAGGTCCTTCTTTTGATTTACTATACCATCAGGCATTGCTTTTAGATGCTTGCTATGGACAAGATGTGATGAGGAAGGGATATCAATACCACGTAATGGCATAGATAAAGCAGTAATCCMAGCTAGCCTCAGCACAGGGAAAATGAAAGGGAATGCTCCACAGAAGAGCTGTGAGATGCTGTGGAGGGATCCTGCCCCAACATTCCTCATTATGGCATGATCACTATAAATAATATGAACCCTACTGATAGTGATCATTATTAACATATCATGATTAATTTGTCTATTGTCCAAGGTATTTTTCTTCTTTGTTATGCTAATGATCATTGGGCTTCAGAGCTTCCTTACAAAAAAGTCAAATAAAATGAAAACAGCATAAATCTCACTCACTGCTTGATGTTCTGTTGTTCCAACCACAAATTCAAAGCAGAAAAGTAAAACATAGCAGTTGATAGAAACATGCTGGAGATGAGACCAAACAAAGGAGATAAGAAGGCTGTAGAGGAAGAAGTTACAGAAGCCTGTAACTTCTGTAACTTCTGCCTCAGCATTAACAGCTTTCTTATTTTTTATAGGAAAAAAATATTTTTCAAAATCAAGTTTTAAAACTAATTTCTACCATTCTTCTCATTCCGTATCTCTGTTAGTCATTTTTACCCGCTATATCCTCAAACTTTTCTATTGTTTTGTAATTCTTTAGAGTACGAGTTCTCTGTGCCTATGAAAACAAATCCAGCCAGTTAGCCCACTGTGGATCCTGAGTATATCATTTGTAGTTCTTTCCCAATTAGAGCGCACTGCTATGGCAGATGCTTTTGTAACTAGGTTCTCACAAGTAAACCATGAGTGACTGAGTGTTTTTAAAGCAGAAATCTAACTGCTGTAAAAGTTAACCATTTTCATTTGTACTTCTTCCACAGCAAAATTTACAAAGGACACAATGGCACATGGAAAACAGAGAAACCAAATAAAGTGGATGAACAAGTGAGGCAAAGGTACATATGGTATTTTCTGAATCTAAGGATCTCTTCCCACTCCTCAAAATAGAACAGTAACTGCTGGTGGGAACCAGCRAGATTAAAAAGGAGAATTGTTGCCACGACAGCGACAGAGAATATTTTGCTCTAGGTTATGGCTGATCTGATCCCTTAATCTGGTTGTTGTTCTTATATTCTTTTATGCTAATTACCTATGCAAATGATTTTCTTGTGATATTAACTTTGTGACTCCTTTTGTTATGAACTTTGAGTTTCTGTATGATAAAAAATAACAAACGTAAAGGACATTTCCAATTGAAAGGACTTTTATCTTGAAAGTCTTACACACAACAGAAATGTTCTGGTCAAATATGTGTAACTTCCTTGGCAACTCTAATCTATGCTAGGGATAAAATGCAGAGATGACATTGGTCTTCTAAACTCTTATTCGCTTTTACTGCCAAAGTGCATTTTAATATTTAAAAGCATAATTCAAGGAGAAATTTCAGCAAATGTGTTTTTCATTGCCCCATTTTCTTTGTAGAAAGTCAAGACTTGAATATTAATACAACCAAGCAATGGCAAAGATGGTCGTGATAGGAAATCTTATTAGTAAACAAGAGCTGCATCTGAAATATATTGTCATTAAAAGCTATGTAGTAGTTAATTGAGTTTGATATGAAATTTAGTGCTGGAAAGTTAATGACTAATGCAGCTATTTCACAGAGCTCGGTTACTGCAGGCTCTGTAATGATCTCCTTTGCTTCATAGCAACAATGAAATTAACCTCTCTTTTGTCCTGCAGGTGTTGTGTTCTGATAATGCATATCCTTTACAAGTATGGGCAAATTATTTGCTTTGCATACAAATTGAGCATAAAGCTGAATCCACATGGAAAAAAGGAAAGAACTCTTCTTTATATTTTTAAACTAAATAACTATACAGGTAAGTCAAAATTCAATAAATTGTTCTTTTGAGTGACTCTAATGCTAGAATAGGTAGAAATTTAGAGGATTATGTTTTTTTCTGCATTTCCACGACTATGATGCTATTGCTTTAAAACCTTAGCAGACATGAACTAATAGCTCAGCAAAGCTGCTCCCTCACTTTCCCCATGCAACCAATCCCAACGGACAGCCAGAGCAGGGTGGCCTGGCAAGCAGCAGTAGGGAGGAAAAAGGAACATCCTCAAGTCCTGATGGTCAGCGTGTCGACCGGCCTAGAGGAGACAGAGCATGTTTACAGTTCAGAGTACAGTATGGATGGAATGAGTGAGGTGGGCCTCTGCATTACTGCAATAAAAGATTGTTTGTGTTCATTCCAGCGATTAAATTCCTCATGCACATCTTATCTTTTTCACGTATTGGCAAGAAATATATTTGGAGCAATACAAAGGGTGAGATTTGATTATAGCCTGCTTATGTATGTAGAAGGTCAAGAAATGTTCACGCATGCTCTTCCCTTTTCCAGATTTCCAGGATGCTAAAGCAATGTGACACAGAAAATGGCACTTTAACTGATGAGGAAATGATGAATTTTGATAGATTGTTGTGGTGCTGAATTTACAGAGGCAATTCTAACTACCTGCTTCCTCCTGGTGTGAAGAACAGTACTAAGGGCATGGTGAGAATTGCCTAGTGCCACCACCAGGGCAGCGATGCCTCTGCAGGTGACTCACTCGGGACCCTTGCTTTCAGTGAGGCCATGCAGACTGATTCATTTGCACAATGACAACCTACACCAGCGAGGCAAAAATAACCTAATAACAATAATTTTCAGAGAGCAGCATGCTTGCCTTATAATTACAAGCTCAGTTTAAGCACCTAGTTTCTGCATACACCATAAAAGTGATGCATAAACTTGGGAATAAACAAATATTGATGGCTTTTTTGATGGGAGGCAATTACCCAAGAATGACATTCTCAAAGACTAGCTTAGAGTCAGAAAATGAGTGTGAAACCATTCCTTTGTATAAGCCACCGGTTTAATAGTATGGTGCTTTATATTTCTCTATGTCAGAGTCAGTGATATATGACTGAGGTGGAAAATAGATGCTGGGTTAAGAAGCATACAATAACAGGACTCTCAGTTCAGAGTCTTTGTCCTGAACACTGTCTGCTTTTCTGTTTTTCTTTCAGAAATTTAGTAGGAAAAAACTCTTAATGGAAATAGTCACTGTGGTATAAGTGCTTGCTTTTGTTTTAACTTCAAGACGTGAAAATAATATGGAGAAATTATTTGAAAATAGAACTGGTAAGAATTTCCTGATCCTCAGGAAATTCTGAAGATTGGGGCAGGAGCTGAGAGGGAAGTGGCAGGAAGCACACAGCAGTGCTGGGCTGAACCTTTCTGTTCCCTAGGGGAAGATGAGTCATACATGCCCACCAAGGATTTCTAAGTCTGTACTAAGAATAAGGCAGATGAAATAAGCAAATCATTTGTTCTAGCAGGAGAATTGCAATGATAATATTTCCAGTTAAATCTATGAGAATAGCTTCTCTATGCAATAGAAAAWTTTTCAGTTTTGAGAGTGAATGACAGGGAAAGGAAAACCAAGAGCTTAAATGTGGAGCTTAAATACAGCAGAGCCTTGTGTGGAAAGACCCGAGGGATGACAAGGAAGCAGTGACATTGCCAGTGTTACCTAGGCATTGGGATGTCAATTGTCTGCTGAGACTCCCAAGTGATGCTTTAGTGTTTGTAAAGAAATACTTGTTCTACAGCTGGAGAAAAAAAAAATACTGTGCCTGAGGAAATTTCAGGTTGGATTGGATTCATAGATTGGAACTAAGGAAGCTCTGATATACTAAACATGCCTCTGCACTTCAGGTGGTAATTTCTGCTGTGTCCCATGTGCATCGTGTATTAGTTCCATGAAAAGCAATGTAAGCTGCCTGGCTGACCTTTTCCTTGCTGCAAGGTGATGCAGTCATAAATACATGGATACTCAACTGGATGTCTTATTCAGAGCGCGCAGTTGTGAGTGGAAGTTGTCTCCAAAAAGCTGCATGTTCCCAGGTGTCTATGTTTAGGGACGGTTTAGGTAGACATCAAAGGTATTCAGGGAATACTCTGTAATTGGCTGATGTACAATTTAAGCAAGAAATAGTGGTTTTTGAAATTCACAGTAAATGGTGATATTAGAAAAGAGGATTAACTGAGTTACAAGCTATATAGCTTGAGCCCTGCAATGCCACACTCAGTTCAGTTACACACCTGGGATATGAAAGAATGATAGATAAAAATATGCTAAGTTAATAATAGGGCATTCTGTTAGCAAATCTATTTTATTTGCTCAAATTCAGGGCTATCCTCCTTGTTTGGAGAATTTGAAAGGCTTTGTGGTGTGTGAACAGATAATCTTGGGCACAAGAATTTGCAGGGCAGTGTAACAACAGGCTTCTGTTCATCATATGCTCTATAGCAACTAAGTAATGCATTTTAAATAGTTTCAGAAACTCTCAGCATTTATCTTAGTTGTGATATCCTCTGGGATTTGAATAAGTATGGCAAATATGTGAATCTTTCATTCACTCACATTCTGTCAAATCTGTGAAACGTTGTATGAACTAAATGATCATTAAAATACCAGCTTGCTTTAAAATCTATGTATCTATGGAAATATAGATTTACTAAATGTGTGTGAGACTGTTTGGAAGATACTTTTCCCTGGAAGCAATTTCCCTGAATTTTCTCAGCAAAACTACTGAGATTTTATTTCAAGGAGTATTTTCCTGATACATTATATACACAGACTGCAGCAGAATATAGCTCTAGTCCACCTTTATTTTTTTAACCTGCAACCCAAAAGTAAAGGTTACAAATGTCTCATTTGAAGAGTCTTGTGGGCAGACAATAGATTAAAGACAAGCTTCTCACTTATCCGAACAAGGTGGCCTTAACATTTGTATTCGAGACATTAACACTGGCAGAAATTGAAGTTATGAAACACAGACTACAAAGAAAAAAAACCAAAAAAATCCACACTGGAGAATACCATGAAAAGCTGATAATGYTGTATTGTCTAATTCTTCTTTGAACTGAAAAAAAAAGGGATGTTCAGTTTCACTACTTAGCTTCATGTTTAGATTTGAATCAAATGCAAGCGCTTTAGCAATTAGGTGTCTCCTGAGAGAATGTTGTTTTGGCCAGTCCTACTTTTACTTTTCTTTTTGTTTTATTTTATTTTTCCTGTTAATAGCTATACCTATTAACTAGAGATCCCTGAGGGTAATTAAACATTTGGAAGTGTGCGGGAACTGTACAAATAGGAAATTACTCCAGCAATTTGAACAATAATTATATTTAAACTATAACCGCAGTATATTAACTTGCTGAAAATAACTAATCTCCACAGCCACTAAATTCATCACAGTGTCATTTGATGACACATCATCAGTAGCAGTACCACCTTACTGATGAAAATCCAAATATCATAATACTGAAGAAAGATATTATTTTCAGCAAGCTGATGCTGTGTAGGCTTTCTTTCATCCCTCCTYCTGCAACATTTATATCTGACTATTTCCAAGTCCAGTGTCCTGCAGCAAATGTTGCCAGCAATACTGAATACTTTCAATTAGTAGTTCTCTACTTCTCTGGTAGCTAAGCAACTGACCTGTGGTGGAGAATACATAATGATCTTCTGCATATCCACCTTGGAGTATCAGACAAAACACAAGCTTCAAAACATGGATTTGTTCCCTCGTATTGACGACTTCAGCTTAATGTTCTGTGACTTATGAAAAAGTGTGTTTGTTGTGTGTTTGAAGTAAATAAATCAAACCCAGAAGTAACAGGCTGTATATATATGTGTTTATATTTATGAGGCTTTATGTTTCCATGTTCCTTAATAGTTATCATGCTGTTAGAGAGCAGAATTCAGAATTCTGTAGCATAAAATCAGGGTAAATGCTATAGTGGGAGAATTTACCAGTTCTATAACCTAAATAGATTTGATGTTATCAATATACAAATGTCCTAACTAATTATACCAGGGAGTATTTTTTGACTATTTATTTATTAACTGCTGTGAGTAATCTAGTCCTGTTAATAAAACAGAGTTTATGTAACAGGGATCTGAGAAGAAAACAGCAGCTGGCTCACACTTAATCCACACAGAATAGAGAGGCTGCTAGTTGTCAGGGGGATGGTAGCATGAAAAATTAGCTGAAAGAATAACCTTCTCCATTAGGAGGCCTTCCAAAGGATTTAGTGAGTCTGTATTGCAGGGTTAACCTGGACTCATTATAAGAATTCAAATTCTAGCAGAACCCTGAAAAGATATCTCCGTTTGGCTTTATTTGGACAGAGGACTATGCTTATTCTGGTCCAGTGAAGCCTTCACAATCATAATCCCTTTATGTATCACCTATGGGAGACTGCACAGTGTGGGGAGGTTTGGGATGGCCTCGTAGCTGAAGCAAACTAGCAGAAGCTGCTTTAGTGCATTGGTCAATAAATTCACAAACCACCAMCATGGAGCAGCACAAATGCAGCGTTTTAGATCACTGGAATTACATTGCACTGATCTAAATATCCAGATAGGAAATGCAAATATGTTTTAGCTGGTAGAGGTTACCCATTTGTACATACACAGTAGTTAAAGGTGAATGTAGTTACCGAAAATCAGACGTTGGGTTAGTACCTGACTTTTACACAGCACCAATTTAAACAGTCCCTGGACTCAACTCTATCTGAGACCATCCTCCAAAACAAGGAGGACGTCACAAGCACTGAAATGATTTGGAAGCATGTCTGGTTGCCTGTAGCTGAGCAGCAACCAACGCTTGTCTGGTACATAGAACTTCAGCAACYCTCCTTTTTCAATTAGCTCAAGTCCCCAGGGAGTTCTTAGGCATTGCACTATCCTGTAAAATTAATTTAAAGGAAGAGAAAATGTGTGCAGGTCAAAAGGCT